ACCCCACACCCCAACCCCTTTCTTTCAAACGAAACTGCAGTTGTGTCTGGATCAGGTTGTCCGGTATCAATCCTGAAGTTTTAGAAGATGAAAAGGAGAACAGCCACACCATATTTAAAATGTGAAATGATTAGAAAATGGCACCGGGCCAATGTTTATGAATCATTGAACATGATCATAAAATCATAAAAAATAATCACCAAAAGGTAAATAAATTACCCAGCTTACTGCTTATTTTCACGGAGGGTCTGACACAAAAGCTGCAGCCATGAATGATTTATACCTGTTTTAACAATAATACTCATTTTACTGAAAGATGGTCAGCACTTGGGCTGCTGTGGGCAACATGCCAGTTGTCGAAAGGTTAATGTTTCAGCAGCAATACATTAAATTATGAATAATACTGGGCCCAAAATGGAAGGTTATTAGCTCAGTATGCTTAATTAGCCCAGCTAGAACCTTGCCGTCAAGTAGCAGGGCCCATTACGGCGGCCCCAGCGATGATGGGGGTGGCAGCGCTGGGATCCGAAGGCCGGCGCAGGGGCAGGTCAAGGCAGGAGCGGTGCGGGGTGTGGCCTTGACTTTCTTTTCATCGAGTGTAACATTACGAGAGCATCTCAGGAGCTGGTTTTCTGGATTTTGAGCTCTCCCGTGGTTTCTCCCCAGGAAGAAATAGCAGAAGTTATTTGGGGGGGGGCATGATGCTTTCTGTGGTGGACCCACCATGATCTGCTTCCACATTTGCTTGGGACCTGCCAAAGCGACATAAGGTGCCATTCACATCCAGGCCAACCCATCAGCACTCACCCAACACAGCCATTTATTGAGCAGCTACTATGTGCCAGGTACATACAAAGTAACAAGACAAACAGGGTTTTTAGATCTAAGGGAGGGGGGGAGTGGTCCTTCAGCAGCCAATTAGTGCGTTAATTACAGGCACATAACTGCTGTGAGGGGCGGGTTTAGAACCAGCACCCGGGCTGGGGCGGGGAAAGGGGCTCTTTCTTGGAGAAGGCTTCCTGAAGGAAGTGCCATTTGCTCTGCTCTCTAAAGGGGGAGTAGGAGGTGGCCAGGTGAACCTCCAGGAAAAACTCCTCCAGGCAGGGAAGATCCAAAACCATTCCCCAGGTCTCCAGAAGCAGTGGTGTCAGAGGAAGATCTTGTTTCACGAGGTCATTGCCAGCTGACAGGCTTCCTTTCATTGCTCAAAAAGAGGACTGGAGGAGCATTTGCCTGCCAGGGCCGGAAGAGTGCCGCTGAGCACCTAGCTTGTGTGGGAGCAGGTACGTGGGAGCGTGCTTGCGTGCGTGTGTGCGCGTGTGTGCGTGTCCACACCTGGCCCCACAGCCACTCCCCTTCTCCCCCGCCCCCACCCTGGGTGCTCCCGCTTAAAACTCCCAGTTTACAGCGGGGAGCAGGGCCGGGCCTCGCCCAGGCCACGCCGGCTGCATCCCGCCGTCTGCACCACCGCCCAGCTCTACTTAGTACTATTAGTAGCTTGTTTTTCTAAGCCCTAAAATTCATTTTCTTTTCCCGCCTTGCTTCCAGAAAAATAAATAAAAGTGAACACATCACTCATTTAAGACGAGGAATGGAATTTAGGTTGCGTTTTTCTTTCTATTTTTATGATTAGTTAGAATTTTCCTGGGAACGCGGCCAGGAGGGCATTATGGTGAGATAATGTCCTGTATTTAATCGGAGCTGCAATGGCGAACTGCGTTCTGCGGGGAGCAGCCGAGTTAACGCACCGTCCTCTGTCTTGTCTGCCTCCAGGGTACGACGGGTTAGCCCGAGATGAGGACAAGGCGGCAGGGCCCCAGGCTCGCGTGATGGCCCACGGGCGGGCAGGAGGCAGCCGTAGCGCGCGCTCTCCATGCAGCACCCATCAGCTCCGGGAGCCCTGCAACCCCCGAAGGAGCTGAGTGAAAAGGGCCCCCAAACTGACCCAAGCGACCGCCCCTGGCCCTGCATCCCGCGGACACTGCAGCGTCTCCCTCGGCAGCTCCCGGGCGCCTGTCGGCCTGGACGCCCCCTGGTTCCGGAGGTGCACCTCTCCCCTTTGCAACCCACACGCGACACGCGCGGGGGACGCGCGAGGCGTCTCAGTGCACCTGGAAGTCGGCAACAGGTAGGACCAGGTCAGCCCTTAACTCCGCGTGTGCGTGGTCGCCCGCGGGTCCCGGGCCTCAGCCGGTGGTTCGCAGGGTTCGCAGCTGCTCTTGTTTCCCGAGACGGCTGGTCCGTCGCTGAGGAGTGAGAGAGTCCCTGGCAGTGGGATATCTCCCGGAGGTGTCTGAGAGAGCGCGACGTCTGGCAGGAAGGAGGAAAACAAGGAGAGGAGAGGGAGTGAGCCTCGCGGAAGGAAGCGGAGCATAGGTGCCTGGACGCTGGCTGCCCTTCCTCGGGGTTAGCAGGGGTGGCCAGGGAAACAGGAGCGTGTGGGGCACACGGGGCCCCTCCCATTTACTGCTGTCCCTCTTAAACGCCGGGCTCGCGGGAGCCGTCTGTTCAGGTAAGGGCAGTGCAGAGAACAGGATGCCCCAAGCAACCCATAAATAGCAGGGTGAAGACAAAGTGTTTATTACTTAGCCTCATGAAGCCCATATAAGTGCTCTCCCAGGGTGCGAGGGAGCAGGAGCGCGTGTGAGCTGTGAGAGGCGTGTGCGTCCCGGGAGCGGGCGCCCCAGGCCCGCTGCTCGCGTCTGGCGTGGGCCTAGGAAAGGGGCTGTCCGTCCGAACGTCCTGGAACAGCTCACAGCAGCCCCAGCAAACCTTGTGTGGAGACAGAGCCGGCTTTTTCTCTTTCCTTTTCCTGTTTGCAGTGAGAATGAGGCCTTTCTCTTCGCGGCCCTTTGCTCTCCCCAAAGTTGTCTCACGAGGTCACTGCCAGCTGACAGGCTTCCTTTCAGTGCAAGGTTTGGATGGAAACAATGTTCTGTTTTCTGGGGGGCTGGGAAGGCTCTGGGCCTATTCCTGCCCTAAATTTAAATGGGTTATTGTTTTAGTAGGGCTGTCAGTTTCTGCAGACAATTCAGTCTATGTGAGGGAAGACGCTCTCCTTTTGTGGGCGTGGGTGTCTGTATTACCACATATAACAGACCATCAACACCAAGCGGCAGCAAGGTGGCTTAAGGTCATCGTGCTTGGTTTCTAGCTACAGCTGACCACTCACTAGCTGTGTGTCCTTGGGCAACTTACTTACCCTCTCCGGCTGGGCCTCTCAGCATCCTCAGTCCGGACTAGTCTGCCCGTAAGATACCTTCTGGTTCAAACATTCTTTAACTCTGTGACTGCAAGATGTTACACTACCATGTTCTACAACCAGCTCAAAAGCACTTTCTTTGAATAGCTGCTGCATCTACAGAACCGATTCCTAACAGCAGCCGAGGATATGTGCTGAATGTTCTATTGAATCTCCTGAATACCGAATTTATTGGTTTGCAAAGGTGTGTGGAAAGTAGACGAGATGTGTTATCAAGTTCTAGGGTCCTGAAAACCCTTAGAGATGTATTCCGGTCTGTGAGCCACAATAATCTTTGTCAGCAGTGGGTAGTTGTTTGAGAATTAAGAAGCACTTTCAAAAGCGACATATTGGGAATTTCTGAATGAGGACCCAGCTCTGCAAACTCTCTCATCTGCTGAGGAAGGCAAACAGATAAAAGCAACTCACTAAAACTGAGGCGGACAGGTTTGGGTCGTTATTGGTAATGGCCAAATGCGATAATATCACATTTCAGAGCCTCTGAGGGAAGTGGTGGGAGTGTGACAGGACTTAGCAAGGTCAGACCTCTGGGATGCTAGGAACCCTCTGGCGCAGCCAACCTCGGGCTAGTGCTGGCTGGCTCTGCGAAAGTGTCGCCAGCACAGAACTGTGCGCTGGCCTTCCAGGAAGGTAAGTCACCAGCTAGGCCAAGAGAGAGGGATTCCCAGGGGCCCTGCCAGTAAGTGCCGTGGGAATCACATCCCTGCAGCCACTGAACTGCCATTGCCAACTGCTGCGTAGCTCTCCCCGAGGTGGGCTCTCCCAGGCTGGCTAGCCAGTGTCCTTTGAGGAAGAGCCTGACGCTGCTGTCTGCCTGGTTACTGGTCCTTAATCTCTCCCTTACTCTTTCCTTCTTTTCCTCCACAAGCATTTATTGAACATATACTATGTGGCAGGCACCGTGCGCGGCCCACAGTACTCATATACTCAAACAAACGGTTCCTGAGCTCAAACTACCTTCTGCTCCATGAGAGAAATAATTCAGTAGAAAGATAATTACCAATATAGTTTAAATAGAGTTATGAGCCTTGACCTTGGCGAGCAGAGAGTAGGAAGCAGGGGTCTCAAGGAGACATTTCGGGTAGCTGTTGGCGGAAAGGAGCAAGATATTCCTAGGAGAGGAAACACGGCCTATGTGGGAATCATGGTAGGAATTCTGTGGATCGTGCATAGGATTCGGGGAGGAATCGGGGCTGCAGATGACATTGGGCACCACCAGCCTCCAAGCAAACACAGCTGGGTTCAGGAATATTTCTTCACCCTTCAATCCTAGACAAACCCCAGGTCTGGACCTCGGTGAGGGGACTCTCCAAATATTGCCAGTCATTAATAAAAGACTTGATGATCATTATTAAATTATCAGTCTCTTGGGAGTCAAGCTCTTGGGGTCTGCTGCTGGTTGTCTCTGGCTATACCCCACCCCTACCCCCCCACTAGGGAGAATCAGTGCCATGACCTCCCTTTCGGACCCTATGGGGGGCCAAGACTCTCCAGTGATTGGCCAGCACTGTAGGGATTGACTATAGAGGTTGGAAGAGCTGTCTTCTTGTGATGAGACAAGCACCTAACAGCAGTAAGTGGCTGTGATGTCTTCTGAAACTGACGTCTTAGTATCTTGATCTCCTGAGTCTGTAGTTGGACTGCCTTGACCTTCAAGACCTACTTGATAATGTTTTAAACCTCATTTGGTTACCTGGATTTGCGGCCCATACCTACTTGGTCCCTAAGGCCCTCTCTGAGTGTGGAGCCCTGGTCCTCTGCCCCACGCCTTCCTCCCTGATCTCCTCCACGCCCAGAGGGGACACCAAGGCAGGCTCTGCTCTGGTGGTTCCTCTTGTATTCTAAGCTCCGTGTAATCATGGAGATGGTGAGTCCGGGGTATGACAGCAAAGGAATCGAAGTCTGGCTTGGCGTATACACTTTCTTGTCCCGTATCATTTTAAATATTTCCTGATCTCCGAACCACATTAAATATCCTGATGTGTTAGAACTTGGCAACACTAACCTTTACGAATGGAAAGAGCGCAGACTGACATGAACGAAGTGATCTTGTCCGTGACAGAAGATGTACGAATGCCACCTGCTTAGAGAGTCCCCTGGGATTCTTCTCTGTCATCCCCCATTTTTAATTAGAGTTGTAATCATCTCTCAAGGGGCATCTGGAAGCTTCATTAAATCTACCAGCTTCCCTGTGATGTATAAAGCTGGTGATGTTTAAAATCTTGGCGGTATCAAAAATAATAGCCACGTGGTGGGGAATGTATGTGCCGTCTGGGGGCTTCAGGTAGCCTGAGTTCCCCTTTCGTTCCTACAGGACTCAGACTTCCCTGCAGTCAGCACCACACCGGCACCCTTTCCAGCTGGGACGTCTGCTTAGTGTCCACCGCACGTTCCTGAATCCTTAGTCTCCGGTTACATCGTCATAACCTGTGCTTCAGGGCCCTTTTGTGACCATGAATGTGTCTGATTGATGCTTCTTGCAGAATTCCACTAAGCCCGAGTTCCTCCGTCTGTAGAGGAGGCTTCCCTCCGAGTGGGGGTGACCGAGGGCCTTTCCAGTAAGTGACTCTGAGGTCAAAGCTGTAGCCATCAGGAGTGTCCCAGAACCTGTCTACTTCCAGTCAAGCTGCCGTCCAAATCAGTCCAGCGGGTAGAGCTTCCCGCCTTGGTACCTTCACCTCTCCACAGAACTGCTAAGCATCTTACAGTGTCTGTCCCCTGTGTGTCACCTCACAGACCCACAGCCAGGTATGTGACCCTTTGATGTGGATCAGTCTTTCCAGGTTTGGGACTAGAATCATAGCCCTAGACCAGGTTTTTCCAAGAGTGGTGCTCTTGTTACGTTTTTAACTGGAAAAATTTAATGTTGATAATCACTATTGGCATTTGGAGCCAGACAATTCTTTGTTGGTGGAGGGAGCCTGGCCTGTGTGTTGTAAGATATTTAGAAGCATCCCTGGCCTCTACCCACTATATGCCAGTGGCACCTCTGTGCCAACCAAAAAATGTCCCCGGACATTGCCAAATGTTCCTGGGTGGGACAGAGGCAAAGTCACCCCCCAATTACAAACCACTGCCCTAGACCTCACACAGGACAGGTATGTGGAGCTGAGGCTGTGTGGCTTTTCTAGTAGGGGAGTGAATGTTCTGGAGTATTTGTTGAATCTCCTCAGGCCCATAAGAAACAGGAAAGACAAGATGTAACCATGAAGAAAGTCACTTGACCCAAGGAAACCACAGGACTTTCCCCCATTCACGTCTTCACTTACAGTTGTTCACTCTGACTATCCTGTGCCTCAGAGAACTGCTCAGGCATGTTAGCAGTTGTGATGTAGAAGGAAGCTGGACCTCTTTGTCCAGCCACCTCATGACCTATCGACACACTTCGTCTAGACCATCTCAAGGGGTCTCATTAGATTTAAACCCAGAATAAACTCGTTTGCATGTTATGCTGCCTTAGGTGGCTCCAGTAGGCCAAGGTTTTTCGGAAACGCTCCTCCTGCTGTCTCATTTGGCCGTTGCCACAGATTCCAGTAAGGCTGTGATATTTCAGAAATTGTGTCATCATTTCTCAGT